TTTTTTTTTTTTTTTTTTTTTTTAGTAGAGACAGGGCTGGTACCTTGGCTCAAACTAATGTGTGGGACAATCTGGCTTCTCTCAGGAGAACTTGAATGGAGACAGAGACTATTGAAACTGCAATCTGGTAGTATGTGCTGGAGCAGAGAAGTCACAGAACATCATGCAGACTCCAGGCCTGGAGGAGCCACTTTTAGCCACACCTGGCTAATTTTTTTTTTTTTTTGTATTTTTAGTAGAGACAGGGTTTTGCCCTGTTGGTCAGGCTGGTCTTGAACCCCTGACATCAGATGATCTGCCCACCTTAGCCTCCCAAAGTGCTGGGCCACCGTGCCTGGCCCGACTTCATATTTGAGGGATAGCTTTGCTGGGTATGGTATTCTTGGATGACCTTTTTTTTTTTTCTTCTTTCAGTATTTTGGAAATGTCATTCCACTGCCTCCTGGCCTATATAGTTTCTATTGAGAAGCCTGTTGCTAGATAAATTGGAATGATTCTGGGAAGCTTAACCATAAAATATTTTGTCTCCAGTCACTGGACTTCAAACATACTGTGTGAAATCTCTCTTCTGATCTTTAACAGCATTTTGGGCCCATTACACAGCGCTTTGATTATGTTCAAATATAACAGGTGTGACTTTCATGGCAATTACCAGGCATCAAAACAAGCTGCATGTAATAAAATGGAGGGAAGCAACACCAATAATTGAAAGCAATGATGCTGGTATTTCCTTAGTCCTTATTTGAACTTTTTAAAAAAGCTCAAGCCTCTTTTTTCACCTCTTTCTTAAACATTAGAAAACCTTTCCTTCCCAGAGCCCTACAACCTCTTCCCGATCTTCCCCAAATATTAACTTGCAGACTTTACACTCCTGGGTATCACAGTACTTCCTGAACCTTTCATATGAGAAAACTTGGCCTGACAGAATGAAGAAAAGCTAAGAGTTAGGAAGGCTGTTGCTGGGATGGTGTCTCTTGGTGGTAACCGAGACACAAGGGAAAACCAGAATTAGGCTCAGGAACTGTGTTGATAAGAGGAGGAAGATTTTTTAAATTATTGCTTGAAATAGAAAGGCTGTTTTTACATGTGTGGAGAATAAGAATTGTTTGAGTTGGATTCTAACAAGGGAGAAGGCACAGTTTAGGACAGCAAGAAAACTTCAAGGGTGAAGAGAAAATCAGTGATTGTGATTCTGCAGGAGACTTCTGTTACTCCCCTGTTGTATTATCTCCTCTTTCTTCCCTCCTCCATGATTTCCTCCCAAATCAAGTCTCTCCCACCTAGAAAACCATCTAAGATACTGCCCTTGCCCTTAGTCTTCCTCTTATTCACAGCCAAGCTTCCTCTGTCCACACTCTAGGCCACCTTCACTTTCCATTCGTGCCCCGACCTATTGCAATCTGGCCTCTGCGCTCACTACTCCCTGAAATGGTGCTCATTGGTGGCACCAACAGGTAGTTTCCAGTGCATATCTTATGGGATTCTTCTGCAGAATGAGATGATGTTCACAGTGTCTTCCTTCTCAAAACCTTCTCTTCCGGTTTCTAAGATGTGACGACTTTTCTTGTTTTCCTTCTATGTCTCTGGCCTCTCCTCAGTTTCTCCTTCATTGGCTTCTTTTCTTGTGCTGTCCTTTTAACCTGGAACGCCCCAGGCCCCTGCTTTGGTCTCTTCTCTTCTTCCTCTACTTTTAGGTGATCTCATTAATCAATTTATAATGGAATTTATTGTAAAAGTATCTTAAAATCTAAATATTCATGATATATTAGAAATAGTAATCTCAGAAAGAAATAATAGATTTCTTGCTTGAAATGATTTATACTTTTCGCAATACATGTTTTTGAGATTTTTCAGAGTAGAAAGCCCTCTTTAAATGTAGATATTGTCTTGTTTCATTTCAACACAACCAATGTAAAAGCTGAGAAACAAAATAGGTGATAGAGAATGATGATTCTGTCGAGAGTGTAGATAACTCACCAAAGACAAGTTTATATAAGCAGGAGGACAATGGAGGTGGGCTCATGGACTAGACACAGACCTCCTTATAGCTCCTGTGGGCCTCAGCAGTGGACTCTGATCTTGTGGCACCTCCTTCATTGTCATAGCTAATTGGACTGGTGGATGCTCATTCAAGGGCAGTCAATCAGCAGACTGGCCAGTGAGCTAGGGCTGGTACCTTGGCTCAGACTAATGAGTGGGGCAATCTGGCTTCTCTCAGGAGAACTTGAATGGAGACAGAGACTACTGAAACTGCAATCTGGTAGTATGTGCTGGAGCTGAGAAGTCACGGAACATCACGCAGACTCGGGGCCTGGAGGAGCCATTTTTAGCTACACAGCAGGAAAGGGAAAAAGCAGCAGAGCCACAGGAACCAGTAGAGTGAAAGGAGAGCATGTGGCAGACAGCAGGTAGAGGCTGGGTGGGAATCATGAGAGGGTGACAGGAAGGGATGAGGGCAGCGACGTCTGTGTTGCCCATGCTCCAGGCCCCCTCTCACTTCTCCTATACCTCTTCTTACCACTCCCCAGGCCAACTCAATTCAGTTGTTTCTGGATTTCTGGTCCCAAGCAGTCTTTCAGCAATCCCTTCCCCCATGTTCCTCCTCCGCCACCTGGCCAGGTTCATTGAGCCAGTCTCTGAGTCTCTGTTCCTTGCAGCAAGATGGAGGTTGAGGTCTGGAGTCAGACTGGTACATCCACCAGAGTCCAGGTTTGCAGGGGCAAAACTAAGGCCAGGGGAGGGAACCCTGAGAGCCCAAGCCTGTGCCTAGCACTTGGTGCAATGGAGCCTTGTGTAGCATTGTTTTTTTGTGGATGGACTCCCGAGAGCCTCAAACATCAGCATCTGACAGTACCATTTTTGGCTTAGTTTCATCAGAGAGGACCTGTACCTTGGCCATCATTAAACCAGATGCAGTGGCCCACGGAAAGACCGATGAGATTATCATGAAGGTAAGAGAGACAACACTTACGTGCACCACTGTCCTTGTGTCCTCTCTTGTGGATAAACAGGGATGGGGCACCAGGCAGTGATACCTTAGTGCAGAAAGATGACTTCTAAGAGATTGTAGCTCAAACTCCATTCAAGCAAATGAAAATGTTAAATCTGATTGGGACAGATAATGTGGGGATCGGTGTCTCCACAGCCTTTAATGTTGCCTGTCTTTATTTTTTTTACCTTGCAACTAAATTAATTAATCAATGTGAATTTGGGCTTGATTTACCCTTTCAGAATATTTATATATATATTCTACAGATTCAGGAAGCTGGGTTTGAAATTCTAACAAATGAAGAGAGAACCATGACAGAGGCAGAAATGCGACTTTTCTACCAACACAGAGCTGGAGAGGTCAGCTCATCTACTTCCACAAGTTCAACATGCTGTCGTTTCTCTTCCTCCAACATTATGCTTATAGATTGATATTAGTTTGTGACAGAAGAAATTATGAAGAGCCAAAATAGGAACAGCAAGTGGGTCATGAATTTGTTCTCAGAATGACAATAGGCTGTATCAGGTAAAGTGTTTTGGTTGCAAAGAAAAAGTTTTGACTCTAAGAAATGAATTAAGGAATTTATTAGAAGGATAACCCATAGTTGAAGGGAGAGTTTAATGAGAAAGGCTTGGAGACAAAAGGAAGCGAGGGATCTCAGAAGCAAAGCCTCGAGCATATCACTTTAGACACTGCCATTGGATAACTCAGATCTAAGCACCTTCCATTTGCTTCTGCTGATGACCCACCTGCTTGGGAGTCTTCTTGGCTTAGCTTGGGCCATAGCCCTTCCTCTCATGTCAGGGGTGTGTGTGTGTGTGTCTGTGTTGGGGAATAGGCATCATGGTTGTCAGTCAAATTTGGACCAAATGAAATGGATAAGGGCTGTTCCCCGAAGGAAAACCAGAGTACTGTTACTTGAGGAGGAAGGGTTGTGAGGCATTGCATGAAAAAAAAAAAGTATCAACTATATTTCACCCCTTAGTTATCCAGCATCATATGATTTCCATAGATATGGTCTTTTAAATGTCTCTGCCTAACTTATATAATCATCTCATGTTTATTCCCAAATGAGTCAACTTAAAACTCTTGTCATTCTGAGTGCTCTGAGTGTGACTGGTCATCACTACCACCCATGCCTGACACCCTCCACAGCAGGCAGAGGTGGCCAGGCAGAGACAGAGTGCAGTGGCTGAGTGGCCACGGGCATGCTGGCTGGTAGCAAGGCTGCCCACTAACTCCCTCTCATCCCGTGGGTGAGATGGGCTTGCTGATCCTCTGCAGGCCCTAGCAGCTCCTGCCCTGGGTCACTGTTTTCCCTCCCTGTGCCTAGGAGGCATTTGAGAAGCTGATACATCACATGTGCAGTGGACCAAGCCACCTCCTGATCCTTACCAGGACTGAGGGCTTCGAAGACGTGGTCACTAGCTGGCGAACCGTCATGGGCCCCTGTGACCCCAATGTGGCCAGGAGGGAGCAGCCTGAAAGGTGACGTCACCAGCTGTGGTCCTTTCATCCATCTTAAAACCTGCATTCCAGGAGGCTGAGTCCCACTCAAAGTGTTCAGCCTAGAATCGTGGGTAACACAGAGGACTCTCTGATGGCCAGGAGCCTCTCTCTTATATATTTGGGGAGACCCTGACATCTTCCCCCTCTGGCCCAGCCTGTACTGAGTGCCTCCTGTGAGGTGCCTCCTCCCCTGCTCTGTCGTCTTCTGAAGGCTGCTTCTGGATTCATTCCTCAGTCGCTGTTTTCTCTTTGCAGCCAGAGGATTCCATAGGGTACTCCCAGGAAAATACAGATTCTAGGGTCCCATTCAAGCCTGTCAGAGACTCTGGGCCAGGGCCTGAGAATCTGCACTGTAGTCTCAATGCCATCCAAACCTACTCCCCATCAGGGTGTCCTGAGGCCCTCAGGAGTCTGAGTACCCTGTTCTGCACATTGCACTGGGCTTCCTTGCCCTGCTCCTTGGACACGGGAATATTTAGCCTGGCGCCAGCAATCCAAATCCACTGTACCTTGGCCTTTGAAGCTGACAGGCGCAGACAACAGGAAAGAAATTAGAGAGGCCAAGGAACTGCAGTTGTACTTTGTAGCTGTAGGGGACCAGGAACATTTATATATGAGGCAGGCTGGGCTAGTGAAAGCCAGCTCGGGATTCAGATCCTAGGTCACTGCAAGTCTCTTCTTAGCCTGAGTTCTCTCAACTGTAAAATGGGGATATAAGCATCCATCATGAGTGTGTATACATACATGTATATACCTCACCAAGAGTAGTGCTTGACACACAGGAAATCATAGCAATATTATTATCTTACGAAGTTATTGCAAGGATAACTATGCAAAACTTTATCAAGCACTTGGTATGGTGCTAGCCTTTGGCAGTAATATCGACAAAATGGCAGCTCCTGTGCTTACACTATTAATCAGGCATCTTTAAAATGGGGGTAACAGCAGTATGTCTCATAGAGCTGTGGCGAAAATGCAATGGGATCGTGTAAGTAAAGTACCCAACTATGTGCCCAGCACACTGCCATGACCAAATAAATGCCAGCTACTATTATTATTGCTGCTGTTCTTGGTATTTCCTGCAGAGAAATCAATTTCACAGGAATGCAGGGTGCTGATTGGTAGCCGGTGATCATGTTGCCAGAAAGCAAAACATTTCTTTTCAAATGAAACAATTGTTTCTTTTACATTTTGCCAATGTTCCCAGTCTCCGAGCTCAGTACGGCACAGAAATGCCCTTTAATGCCGTCCACGGAAGCCGGGACAGAGAAGATGCTGACAGAGAACTGGCATTGCTCTTCCCCAGTTTGAAATTTTCAGACAAAGATACAGAAGCCCCTCAGGGTAAGTCATCAAGGCAGATTTGATCTTTATTAAATCATAGATACAAGGAATTTGTGACTATGTGCTTGAGTGTGTGGGGGATTGATAATTTTTGGTAACTAAGTCTTCAAACTAATACAGTCCTGTTCTGAAAATACAGGTCATTATATAACTTGAGTATCAATACTAAACTGTTTTGTGTCCTCATAGAGTAACAGTGTTGCTTTTTAATACCTCATTAAATTTTTTGCTGCTTATTTTGGAGTCATATTTTTGTTGCAAAAAGTACTTTATTTGCATTTCCCTGTGGAAACCATTGGGAAAATTTCATTAACTTTCTGGAAGCCTACCTCAAAGCCAGTCAGAGGCCATACTCCACACACTCCACGTTAAGCCCCTAAGGGCTCACTGAGAAATGCAGCTATACAGAAGGGGCTTCAACCTGGAGCTTGCTGTGACCTCATCTCCCTCAGCCCCACATTTCAATGCATGACCATTGTTTAGGACCTTCCCTTCATGGGAAGCATTCAGACAGCCTCTGGGAAAGGCATGCCAGGTGGTACTGCCACCTCCAAATCTGGGTGAGAGCCCCAAGGGGCCCGGAGCCCATGTGACTAAGTCTACCCTACAACCAGTGAAACTGCTGCATTACATGTCTCCGGTTTGAGCATGAAATGAGTGGAAGGGGCTGGGAGATGATTACCTTGGGAAAACCCAAAGGATGCGAGGGTTGGATTCTTGGGAGAAGGCCACATTCCATCTGAAATGGAAATAACCCATGTGTGTCTAAATGTTTGGGTTTTAATCAATATATTTGCCTAAATGTTTGATATGCTCATGGTCTCAAGATCTGAAATGCAGCCAAGTCAAAATGGGTGGACTTGCCACTGCCCTGTGAAGCAGAATTATTCCCACTGCCAGCTGAGGAACAAGCTGAGCATGCCAGAGGTTGGGGAGCCAGGAAATCTTGGGAAGTGTGGCTCTGTGTGGATCAGAGACCCACTGACACACTCCAGGCCAGCTTTCCTCTGGGACCTGCCCTCAGAGAGTCCATGATGCATTTCCTTATGTGTCCAGGGTTGTGGGGCACCTTCAACCTTTTGGGAATAGGGGGTGGTGATTGGAAGCAAATAGCTGTAACTCAGAGCCCAGTCTGGGGCAGGTGGCTGGGAAGTTCTCACTGGGCTGTTGGGAGTGCTGGAAGATCATAAGACTGACGTTTTGGCCTCAGGTGATGAGAAAAGGGGTTACCTGCAGACCACACCCTGGGAATAAGTGTACAGCCTCCTTTGGACACTGAAGCAGCCTGGCTGGGGTGCTGTTCTGCCCATTTATTCCGATGTGTCACACTTTCTCAGCTTTGGGGAGCTGCATGTGCCTCCATTGTACTTAGCACTATTCCTGCTAAAAAAACGCAGGAGTCAAGGTGACAGACAATCCCGGGTTTGAATTCTGGCTCCACTATTCCCCAGCTGAAGAGCCTCTGAAAGGTTACTTACCTTTTCTGGGCCTCAGTTTCCTCATCTGTTAAATGGAGATAATGATAGACTCGTCATAACCACAACTAACTTCATAATAAAAATCTTCATCATAGAGCTGTTGTGAAGATGAAAGACAGGATGTAAAGCTCTTGGTCTGGCATATGACATGAATTAAATGCTCAATGTTACCCATTCTGTTTAATTCCTGGTCCCTGACACATATCAGGACTTCTTTGCTGGCTCTCCCGCTCTGACCTTTAACTTCCCATTTCTTTGTGGATGGTGGGTGGGACAGAAGGTCTGGGACAGGGCTGTTTCAGGAGTCCTACCGAACATCTGTCATCCCACAGGCGGTGAGGCTGAAGCAACAGAGGGGCCCACTGAGGCGCTTTGCTTTCCCGAGGATGTGGATTGAGATGGCTGTGCTGCTCTTCCGGAGCACGTGACCAGGGGTCTACTGCACAAAATGGACCTCCAGAATCGGAACTTACTCTTTTGAGTACCAATACTTTTTCGTTTAGCTGTCTTTTGTAGACAATGGAAATAATACGGCTGGGCGCAGTGGCTCACGCCTGTAATTCCAGCACTTTGGGAGGCCGAGGCAGGTGGATCACTTAAGGTCAGGAGTTCGAGACCAGCCTGCCCTACATGGTGAAACCCTGTCCCTACTAAAAATACAAAAAATTAGCCGGGCGTGGTGGCGTGCGCCTGTAATCCCAGCTACTTGGGTGGCTTAGGCATGAGAATCGCTTGAACTGGGGAGGTGAAGGTTGCAGTGAGCCGAGATCATGCCACTGCACTCCAGCCTGGGTGACAGAGTGAGACTCCGTCTTAATAAAAAAAAAAAAAAAAGTAAAGAAAGAGAATAGTATATACTTTTCTGCCTTATTAAACAGTATGTAGAACATTTTTTTTTTTTTCTATCTTTGGGATTTTACAAAATAATTGAACATCAGTTATTACATCCTGTTGTGAGATATAGTGTCATCTCAGAGGATACTGGGTTATATGAGATGGTGTTTCCCCAACAATAAATCTACCTTATGAATTAAACAATTTTAGAACTTAATTTGGTAACCATGAGCTTGAAAACAGTGCAAGATTGGCTATGACACTTTCAGGCACCCTGATGCCGAGGCAGATATAAATAGGCTCCAAATGCTTCCTCATGCTGCCTGCCCAAGTCACACCAACAGTCATTTAATGCTGCCAGATTTTCCCATCTGCAGTTCTCCATTACCAAGGCATGTTCATAAAGCAATGCTTAGACGTCAAATTTGGAAACAGGGTTCATCTAATTTTCTTGACGCATCCCTCCCCCATTTCTCTGGTTTCTGATTCTGGGTGACACCTAAATTTAAAAGCTGAGAGCTCCTAGTGGGGCCAGGTTGCCTTCAGCTCTCACTGAATTGCCTGGCTTAGCCATCCCTCTGCAGTTCTCCCCTTGAGGGACACAGGATTTCAGTAAAAAGTAGCTATTGTGACCACTTGGAAATTATTGGCACACAATGCCACCCCCTCTAACCACTTTATTTGTAAATTTGCCAAGTGCAGGCATACTTTTTCCTGAGGAGGCCATGTTCTTCTATACTAGGAAGCAAATGCCAGCATCTTCCTCCTTGCTGGTTTTGTCCATGACTTGAAGTTCTTTAAATGGGCAGTTAGCTCCCAGAGGACGTCTTCGTGGGTGCATCACACTTCGTCAGCCTAGCACAAGACAGTCTGTGCTCGGCCCTGAGCTGGCTCTGGGGATACATGGATAAGTCAGTCCCCAGAGTTGGGAACCAAGGTCGGTGACCTTCAACAGGCCCTACTGTTTAACGCCACTGTGTTTGCCAGGACCTTGTGTCACCCCTGGATGGAAACACACATGTCCACAGTGCTCATCGGAACCTGTACAGGATCTCAATGTGTATGACAAAGCCCTCACTGACAGGATCTGTCAGGAAGCTGGATGCACTATTCCAGATCCCCAGACTCACAGCCCACCATGGGGCTGTGCTCTTCCCTTTGGGAGTGGGCTCAAGAGCGGGGCCCATATGGTCTGTGCCCACTTCAGAAGTGGTAAACGACTTGGAGCAGCCCTATGCCTGGGCTTCCATACCACAGATGTGTGTGGCTCTGAATGAGCTACTTCGACGGGGTGCACCCAGCTGACAGCCATCTGATCTCCCCAGAATCTGGGAAGCCAGGGATCTTCCAACACTGGTGAGATGAGAGATGGAGCCACCAGGGCCTCCCAAAGCAGGGGAGAGAGGGGAAAATGAGATTGGGGAACTGAGCCTGTAGGGGGAGAGTGTTCTTGTGTCAGTGATGGATGAAGTAGCTGGGCAGGGCAGTGGGAAAGCAAGTGGGGCACTAGGTGATGGGGCCGGAGTGTTAGGAATGGTGACATGCCTCTTCCTCCCATTACTGGTGACTCAGGGATGCTGTGGGTTCAGCACTGCAGGGCATCTCTAAGAGTCCACAAGTTTCATGGCATAAGGAACAGGGGAATGGGGTGTAAGGGGGCTCCCGAGAGTGGCTCAAATATCAGCCCACTCCCAGAGGATGGAACTCATTGGCAGAGACCCTAGGCCTGGTTTCCCACAACAGAAGCAAACAAGGAAGTAAAGGATGGGTGCCGCTTTTGGTTTTAAGACCCGTTGGCTCCTGGGTGTGAGTGCCTGACAGGAAGGAGGGCAGACTCGGCTCTGTCAAGGAGGGTGGTTTTATTCCAGGACTGGCTCTGGACCTCCACTCAGCCTGAGGGCAGAGTGCTTGCCAAAGCCAGGAGCCAGGGGCTGCAGAGATAGAAGGAGGAAAGGTGGCTTAGTAGTCCACTCAGTGGACCTTGGGGGGTTCCCTCAGCCTTCCCTAAAGCCAGATCCTAGACCTTCTCTCATGCTGGAAATAAACATGTGCCTCTCTGGCCAGTAAACAGGGAAGGGACAGGATGGGGACAGCACCAGTCCCTATCCCAGGTGGCAAGAAATTGGAACCTTTCTGTCAGCCCTCCAGCAAGATCTGGGGTGGGAGGCCCCCTTCCTCTTTTCTTAGGCTTCACTTCCAAGTTTTCCCTGTGGCAGTTATGGGAAACAGGGGCCTGCTTGGACCTGCTCCTACTCTCTTGGCCTTACCTTGGGTCCTCCCAGAGGTTCCCACCATGATTATTCCCTCTCTTGCCCACCTCATCATCCTCCCACCACACTCTGGTACAGGTGTCCTTGGCTTTATTTCCAGTGAGGCCTTGAGATGGAAGGTGTGCCTACAATTCAGAGACGGGAAAGGTGGCAGTGCGTGGTAGACGAAGAGCAACTGTGTGTCCTTGCAGAGGGATAGCAAGCTCTTGCACACTGAGCAGCTGGTGGCAGTGGAGATGGGGCATACCTAAGAAGAGGACGGAGGGGATGGACATGACATTGGGGACGGGATACCTTGTGGCTGGGAGTGCCCACCTGTGAAGGTCTGCTGGCCTTCAGAAGGAGGCCAAAAAGAGTGGGGTCCCCAGACTGCTGCAGATGCCTCTAGGAGCCACAGTTACCCTAAGGCACTGGGTCCCACTCTGAAATGCAAAGCACTTCCCAGCCCTTCATTTACCAAGAATCACAGGTTCCAAAAGTGTGTACATATTATCTTCTGATGTTTCCTAATGTTCTAGACATTTGGAAAACAGACTCCTTTTTAGAAGTTGCCACGATTTTTCTTGGCTTTTATTAGCATGTGTTAAAATCATATTATCCAAACACTACCAGAAGAACATGTATTGTTCTGAATAAAGTGCTTAAGGAAAAAAAAATGCAACTTATTAAATTGGACATTCTTTTCTAGTTCATAAATTTTGGATTACAATGAGGGCACAAAAGGAGAAACAGAATGCAGTATTAGAGCGAGAAGCTTAGTTAAGAACTTGGGTGTAGACACAAGACCATGTCCACTCTTCCCACTTCCTTGCTGACTGAACACTGCACCTGCATAAAGCAGCAAACAGCTTTGTTTCAATAAATACATTTCCCTTCATTCAATTCAGAAAAGTTAATTATAGTAAAGCATTTTTAATTTGACCATCTGTTTATACCCACAGGCAAGATGTATCCACAGAGTTTAAGTGTGAAAGTGTTATTTCATTGGGCCTTCAGCTCTCTAATGCTATTTGGGTTCAAGATTGTCTCAGCAATTCATTATTGGTTTCTTTATATTTACCTGGTACTATTTAATACCAATACTATAATGTTTTGCATTAAAAATGCCAACCAAGGATATTTTCACAGTACTAGAAACGAGTGGGCCTAAGGCTTTCTTCCCAATAAACTAAGTTTTCTTTTAACCGGGTTTCTCACATTAGCACTCTGATATCTGCACAAAACCAAGTCCTGTTGGGACAGATTTTAAAATCAGTGATGTTCTGAAAAAATAGTAACTTGAATCTTGGGTGGTCATGTTGAGAGCAGGAAAAATTGCATTAAATACACTTTTAAAACATTCATTTGCAATCAAACATTTAAATCTTCCAAGGAAAGTGCAGGGTGGTGATAGGGCAGCTGCAGTGTGAGCAACCCCATCAGGAGTGGCTGGTGGGTGGGCTTGGGGCTCCATCAGTGGCACACACTCACCGCAAGCTTCTGGACCACAGACCTTGCATCCTGGTTGTGACGCCTTTGACCTTCTTTTAACAAAGAGAAAGGGCAGGCTGCTTCTACCTTCAAACAGTCAAGAGCAACGTCTGTTGAGTTCACCTTGCTGCTGACCCAGAAGTTGGGTGCAGAAAGGCTAATGGTACTTGCTGTAAAAAGAAGTCATCTTCAGTCATCCTGGGGAGATTCCATTGCCCCTCTCTCAACTTGAGTGCTTTTCGCTTCATGCAGGAAAAGATTTTAGTTGCATCTTTTATTAAATTTCAATCTCATTTTACAAAAGCATACCAACTAGCAATCCTGAGCAACTAATATGAAATTTGCTGAATACAGCTAAGAGAAAGCTTTCTAAACTATCCTGTTCTTTGTTTCCTTCTACAGGTGTGTCTGTAGAACATTCTTTAGTTTCACAGTGATATATGCTGTTTCAGGAAGCACAAGGTGTTCTGTTTCTGGGAAGTGATGACCTACTTTTAGTTTGAGCACAAGTTTCCATGACTGGTTCTAAATCCGGCCAGATATTGCTAATACCAATGACAGGAGTTAGGGCAATTGGGAGGCTCTCGGTCCCTAGTTCCTGTCAAGGGTAAGCCCCATCTGGGTCATGGCTGGGCCTTCACTATCAGTAGTTATATTTCCCTTTGATGTTTCAAAAAGCCTATGGTGAATCTGTCGCCTCACTTTACTCCTCCCTGTCTGTCTGACTTGGAAGCCTGAGAACTTATTAAATTAGGATGAAAAAAGGCTCTGTACCTGCTAATATTGACGGCAGTAAGATGCTAGCTTACTATTTTTGCACAGCACCATGTATAGTGCCTGTTAATCAGGCCAACTATAGCCAACTTTTTCTTTTTTTATATATATAAAGAAAATCTATGTAAGTTGAGGTTCAGAAATGCATATATTTTTTACTTACAAATATTCATCTGACCAAAATTCAACATAACCTTTATGGAACACTTAACAATTGTTTTGTTTTTAAAATAACATTTCATTCAAACTGTATATAATTCAGTAAAGTTTTTTTATACAGCAAGCAATGCTTAAACCCTGGAAAATCTGTAGAAAAGAGATTTTCACACAAAATAAGAAAAGAAAAATCTGAGGTATCCCTCACACACACACATCCATTCATTCTGGCCCATGTACGTGCACATACACACGCGTGCCTGTGTGTTTACACAGACATATTCATTCTCACTCACAAAGTGGCTGCAGCATAGGCAAAAAA